CTTTAATTTTCCTCAATGCCACCTCCCCTGTGGCAGCAGCTAATTCACCCCTGCAATGCAGCTAGTGCCATTTCCTTCTTTTTCAAGAAGCTGAGGAGTCAGCATCTCCCCTGGGCAAGGTTCTGGCTCTTTGTTGTACACATTTTCTTCCCCCGTTTTGCGTCGCCTTCTCTCTTTTCCCCACAGAGAGGTTTCTGCCCTGATCAGTAAGGTGAGACCGGCAACTTTTCCATCAGGTCCTTTCCCCTTTAGCTTCCCTTCAGGATCTTCTTCCATTCTTTTCTGGCTCCATAACCAGTGCAATTACCTCTCTGATGATTTCCTGGATTTTCCATCTGCTTGAAATAGGCACTTGTGAGCTCTCTTGTTAATTAATGTGTTTGAAAATCATTATGTTCATCAACCAAGCCTTATCACTTCCATTTTTTCCACACTAGTAAAAACTATTGCCCTAAGTAAAACACAGGTATTTTGACGTTCAAATTGTAGTAAACTCTGTTTTGAACAGAGGCTAATTGCTCAAAGCAGAATCGCTACTAACCTGGAGTAATAACAACACATGAGCATGCTGTACTTACTTGTTACTAAGGCTTTGCGCCTCTGGCTCAAACTGACAGAATTTCAGAGATTTCTGTTATAAATTCTTTTTGCAGCTTTGGTGTCTGACTCAAAACACTCTCTCTACTTCAGTTTGCATTGGGTATTTTGTTAACTGTATTTTAAGCTGTGCCAGCTTTTGCTATATATTATTACTTGTGTTCTTCCTGACTGGCAATGAAGTATTTTAGTAAAGGCGTGTATTAACAGTAATCTGTGACTTGGGTAATAAAACTGACAACTGGTTGCGAAGATGTTACCAACAGATAATTTTACTGCATTTGTCACATACGGTTTGAACGGAGAAACAAGTACCCTATGTGGTACTTAGCGGACACACAATACCCCAAACACAACAGAATTTAGTAAAGAAAAAAGCCTATCAGATCTTGTAGTTCTGCATTCTGATAAATTTGGTGACAAAGGCACCCCACAGTTTGAGTGTTTTTATACAAAGCAAAAGCCCCTAGTAATTGCATCTAGGGAGGAAACAAAATACTGCTTAGACTTACAGAAATGCTTCTGCTTTGTGTGCTGCCTAATACAGAGTCTTATTTATATTTTAAAGTTGAGAGCTATAAAAAAGAGGTATCTTCTATCCCACAGGCTACGCAGATCTAATCAATCTCTTGGGTGACAAAGACACAAACGGTTCACTTCTCACTACACAAGGACCAGATAACACGGTAACTCTTACTTATATAAGTGCAGTTACATTACCATTTTTGGCAACCAACGAAAGATTATTTACCAGTAACCACACTTCTTTGAAATATATTGCCCATATACACCCTGGTATTGCAGGTGTTCTTATTACAAGCACCTCTCCAGATGCCAATTTTGCCTCATCAGTACCTGCAGGCGTGTTCATGCCCTGCCTCATCCTGCAGCCATATAAATATCGAGCTTGTCCTATGGTGCCAAGCTTCTCTCAACGCTGGGACCCCAGAGTCCTGCAGTTCTCAGGAGAGTCCTCCTCTTTCCAGGAGAGAGGGGGATAAGAGCTTGGTAGTGAATGTCCTAGTGCTGAGCGTGTCAGTCCTGAAGGTCAACTACAGGACATGGATCTTGCTCCATCCAGCCCATTGATGTGATGATGTAAATATGCCATCACCTGGGCAAGCTCAGGCAGTGTGAGAACTCGTAACACGCATTTGGCACTGCTATGAATCCCAGCTAAGAAAATGCAAAGTCTGTGAGGTTCTTGGATTGCCGGGGTGAAGTTCCAGTCCAGACTGAGAGACATCAGTAATTATCTTTCAAGGTGAAGGAGGCAAACGCAACTGTGTCTCTTGGCAGAGGCTGGGGTGCAGGAGGCGGTCCAGCCAAAAACAGAGGGGCAAAAGCAGGAAGGAACAGTCACACCCCTGTTGGGAGGGTCTCTTCCTAGAGTCAGACATGCGGAGGGATGCATGCACAGCCTTACATGAAGGGGAACATAAGTGCAGGGTGCCATATGGCTCAGAACTGCCAGATGTGTCCTCAACACGATGACAGGACCTGCCTGTAATTGCCTGACCAGTTTTTCCACCGCCTGAAAAGTGCTCCTATGGGAGATAAGCTTTTGCTGATATGGTTTCCAGGCAGGCTCCAGGAAATCCAGTGAACTGTGTCAGGAAGAGGAAGGACTTGTCCTGCTTCACCACAAAACCCAGGGAACTGAAAACTTTACATGCTGCCTCTAGATCTTGAAGGACTTGCATCTTCAGCGATCCCTTCAGCAGCCAGTTCTCCAACGCAGATTGAAAAGGCTAATCCCCGTGTTCCGAGGCGAACTGAAATCGTAGCCTTGAAAAAGTCTCTTAGTGTCATGCAGTACCTTGTGTGCACAATGTCACGACCCAAAGACATTTCAGATGAGACTGCCTGAACATCAGCACCCTGCAAGTCACGAGTGTTGCCACAGTTGACTGAGCTGACTGATTTCTAGGATGCCCTGGTTCTGAGATCCCCTAAGATCCTAGAGGGAGCCCAATATATAAGCAGTAAATCTCTCTGCAGGTGCATGTGACGCCTGGCCTTCACGCGCAGCAATGAAACCTCTTACTGGTGGTTTTGCATGTGATCCTACTCCAAACTAATGCAAATCAAGAGATACGACAGATAATGAAAATAATTTTAGGGAGAAGAAAGGGCTGCACTAAAATAAGGAATAAATGAAATAAAAAATGAACAAAAGCAGGCAGAGAGAACAGGACATCGGTGTGTCATGCTGCTCCTTCACAGCAGCAGCAGAACTAATAAAATCCAGTACAGATTTAACAAATTGAACTGGTAAAAGTAAATTACATAAAAGAGGGAAAGGTACCAATAAAACAGGGGTGCAACGCAAATTTTTCTAAATGCTTTGGCAACATACTGACGCACCAGAAGAGCCAAGCTGGTGAAAGAGCTGTACGATACACCCTGTTCCTCCAGGGCTGCAGGAGGATGAACAGAGGAGCGTGGCCAACATGGACTGCGAACACACACAAACCTCGGGCTGGAGCACAAGCGGTGCGAGCACACCCAGCATGTACGGACAGACAGATGCGTGCTTGGAGGAGAATGCTGGATTCCCTTCTGAGAAACATTAGTGTTGGGAATCCCAACAGGCTGTCTGCCAAGGGGGATAATTAAGCTAAATAAAAATACACAACAGTAACAGCTCCACAAATGAGGATAATTTAATTACCACATTTGATATAGGAGACCCACTTCCCCGAGTTTTCCATTGTGACCAGAGAGGAGACAATAGCAACAGAACGTGCTGCAGAAAGGAAGATTCATTTACTAAGAAGAGGCTTTCTATTAGGGTCTGCATATTAAACAACATCACAGCTTTCCATAACCATGTCATAATCTTGCCATAAAATTCAAGCAAAGCAACAGCTTGTGAGTGTCCAAAAATCAACGGAACTGTAGGAGAAATGATTGCAGATGTAGCACTGGACTTTATTTCAATGCTCAATCCATGGTGGTGGTAAGGAACATCTAAACAACAGGGAAGCAGGTGTCCTGCAAACACCTCTTGGGAAAGAGCTCCTCTCCCTCAAATTCAGAGGAAACACAAACAGTAGGCACACTACAGTTCACTTAATACTACCCATGTGTTTGATTTTTGGAAAAAGAGGTCATTTCTATCCACTCATCTTCCTAAAATAAAGTAGTTATTACAGGGTATATTCTCATCCAGAATCCCAACCCGGATAGCGTAGTTTCACTGAGCTGAATTTAAAATACAAGAGCTGCAGATTTGCTTCACTCATTAGTGCTGAAACGCAATAGAAAGCGAGAGCTAACGTGCTGGGCTTCTGAACAGCTTTATACGCTGTGTAATGCACCTCTAGGGTGCTTGTCTGTTAAGTGAGGAGAGAAGTGAAAATATTTTTCCTCCCCTTCTCTCTAGTGAAAACACTTAGTGGACAGCACAGGCTCAGTTCTTTTGAAAGTAATGGAATGAGTGTATCCACTCAATTATTTAAAACAGTTGAGTAATTGCAGTCCTGTCAGCTCAGAAAACATCTCTCTGTTAAAGCTGCTGCACAAAACCATTTCTGTGCAGGCAGTCACAGTAGCACTAGTTTTCTCTTTATTTATTTCCACATTCTCCAAGTTGGAGCTACTGGTGAGGGCTGAGGCTGCATGCTAGCATGTTTGAAGCTAGTTTTGCCGCAGGGTAAAACTCAGTCAGTAGAAGGAAGGTGGGAGGGAGGTGGGGACACCTTGGGAGCTTTTTTGGAGGTGGCAGGTTTATATGCGGGCTGTGCTGGCTGATGACTACATAAATCCTTACAGAAATCTCTCAGGGCATGGTGTGTGCCGGAGATAAATGTTAAAATAGTAGGCTTATAGGAAAATGGATTTGGACAGCCAGGAGTGTCCAAGGAGGGAACAGGATTGGGCAGAAAGTCCGCTTGCTAAAGACCCTCTGGAGAAGCTCCTTTAGCAGGGGCTAGGAGATTGGAAGGTTACCACGTTTGCCTTCCACAGATTCCAATGCACAGAGGAAAAACACCGCAGAGTATGCAAAGACCACTAGACATTTCTTCCCTAGCCCAAAACCACAAAGAGAATCACAGCTCCAATGCACACGCTCACCAGCGCCACTGCTTTATTCCACGACTGCCCTGCACTCAGTCCCGTCCTGTCCAAAAGCGTGCATTTTGCCTCCTCCGTCAGGGATTGTAGGACACAGAACAAGAACCACCAGACTGACGAGTCGAGCCATGGACATGCGCACATCCATCTAGCTTGACCATTTGAAAACCAAGGTTTGTTCCTTCCTCTTTACTACTCTCACCAGTAATGGCTTTCTGGGACAGTTTTCAAGCAGACTGCAAGAAGCAGCTACCAAGGCAAATGAATTATATAAAGCACACACTGACAGTGCTGAGTTTTCACATCTTCGTTAACTGGCTCACCTTAATGGGTACTTCTCTCCAGGGTCCCTCCCCAGGTGGAAAAGCAGCGGCAGGGTAGTGTGCTCCTCCTGTGTATGTGTTGTCACTCCAGAGACATTCTGCCCAGGACAGAAATCAATGCCCTGCAGTGAACAGGAGAGAGGTCATCAAGGGTGAAGCAGGGGAGGGAGCAAAATTTTAGCTGATGCCACTTTCTTCGGCATCTTGTTCCAATATACCCACAAAACCCATAATTATTTTAAACTGAGGGTCCACTTCAGTCTGCAAAATGGATTCTGATCTGATGGGGTAAAATAAGGTGACAATGTTGGCATTGCGCTGACATAAAAGCTGGAGCAGGCCTTACGTTTTTGCCTTATAAAAAAATATAATCTCTAGAAAATATTCATTAAAATGAAATGGCAAAACAAAAGACAGAGGAGAAACCATTTAATCATAAGAATTCTGCACGTGGAAAGGATCTTCTCTCTTGGATTTCTATGGCTTCGAAAAACACAGAGAGGATCGGATCACTTGGCAGTTCTGATCAAAAAGTAACAGTCCCAGAGGAAACATCCAGCCAAACCAAAGGGCATCACCCTCAGAGGCAACGGGCACCTGCTAGCCTCCCTGAATACTCAGCTTGCCAGCACCTGACACCAGACCTGAAGGATCTGTTTCACTGAAGAACAAAGCAAATCTGGTTAATTTTAAAGAAATGGGTCCATTTGTTGATCTGATTTATAGCGTCTCACCCGAGGCACTCACCTGGGAATGAGAGTGGGGCTGGAAGAAGTGTAGTAAGTCTGGAGACATTTCTGCCACTAACATTCAAGTCTAGGGGGTCAGAAGTCGGGGTTTCCCCAGCAGCAGCAGTGGGTATGGAGGGCACAAGTACTAGGACTCTCCCTTTGCTAGCAGCAACGGGTTAAAGTGCTTGCTGGCCACCGCGGGACAGAGCAAGCTGCCTGCTCGCAAGTCCAGAGCGGCGAGCTCTCCGCATCTGCCTTTGCACGCCTTGCCAGGCTGCGTCTCCCAAAGCCCAGCCGGTTATTAGCCAGGTGTCGAGCTCCCTAATCACCTAGGGCCTGGCCTGCAGTCTTGAGGGCTAACAGAACCCATTTAAGCCCTGGGAATAGCAAAAAATGCAAAGCACTAATTTCACTGAACAGCAAATAAAGCAGGGGGCCCCATAGACCAGCAAGGACTAGCACCAAATGGACTTGTTAAAGCTCGGTTTTACAATTCCAGCTAACACGCTGCGCTCCTTACAATACCTCAAAATGCCCCGAGACACGGACAGAGACATGGAGAGAAGGTAAATGGGAATATTTCAATAGAGGTGGGAAAGCAGCTGTAGCATTTGCTTATAAAACAAACAAACTGAAAAGGCTCTCTACAGATGTTGGTCGGATTTGATTGGCAAACAATTTTCTAAAAATATCCTGTGTTTTTAATGGACAGCTGGTCAGTGGAGCAGTTAATATTCTGCTTTTCAATAAAGCAAGAAGTTTAGAAGCCCATGAAATCCCATTTATCTGCACAGAGCTATAGATTCCTGAATCACTGACTGGAAAAATAAGAGAGTTGCTTGATAGGCTGTAGTGACCTACCAATAATGGACTTTAAATGGATACAAAAATGATTGACCTTTCCACCTTGTGATGCCACAGGCCTCTGAAACACACAGTGAAAAATAGATTTATTTTTTTTTCCCCTCAAAAGGAACAGTTAATGAAAAGGTATCAAAGCCTACATAACATCCAAATTATAATTTGGATGCAAATCAAACAAGCAATTTAATTAAGAGCCTGCTAATTGGTACAATGCTCTTCGGCTGCAAATGCTTTAGTTTGAAAGAAGATTTTAGTCTCTTGGGTATTTGTTTATACATTGCTCTGTTTACATTTTATCTTTTGTTTCTTATAAAATCCTTGTAGCTGAGACTCCAGAACACGGCCCAGGCTACGACCCAAAGACTCCTAGGAAAGTGCGTGCTGCGACAACTTGCCTGATGCCACTAGCCAAGAGCTATCTGTCTTTCTAATCTAAGCACTCAATGCCCTCTTGAAGAGTAGTCTATTGAGGAAAAAATAAAATAAGCAAAAAAAAAAAAACAAGCATACCTTTTTACGACATTGATAAATAACTCTCTTAAAATATGGCTGAAACCACCCTTTAAATTTCTGAGGCCTTTCAACTTTATCTCCACAAATAAAATGGACTGTTATTATTTTTATGTACTGTGTGACTGCCAATATTCAACCTACAGAGAGAGCTTAAAATATTTTCTACCTGCTCATCAACAAATGAGCAAAAAATAAGAGGTAAAATTATATCCTCACACCCTGATCAAGGCATTGTCCAGCATCACAGTAAGTAATACACTACAGACAGAGGTAGAGGAGCCTGGTCTTTTGTCCCTTAACTTATCATCCACAACTCTATGTCATTTTTTTATTTGTAAGTCAAAGCGTTTTCAGTTGTCAGGATGGAAAGAGAAAAATCAGCTATACCAGTGAACTGAAAGTCTGGGATCCCCAAGTCTGGATTGCTTTTCTTTTCTGGAGCAAAACTAGTATAAATTAAATCTGCTTGAGATTTGAGAAGTATTTGAAGATGAGACAATCCACACTCCGGAGCATCTGGACAATGCCTCTGGTCGCTTGGAGAGCGTGCAAATTTGGTCACGTGTGGTACTGGAAGCTGGGGCGGAGGGACATGCCAAAACTCCTTGTGTATGTCTTTGATGGGAGAGAAGGAGCTGCCCTCCCGCTCTGCTACCCCAAGCAGGCTGCAGGACAATAAGCCTGGTGAGGAAGGGGACTCTCTTCTAGGCGATAATTTTAAATCATGTCACCATTTTGGATCATTTCTTGCTCTTCGTTAAACTCTCCCCCCCTGCCCTTGTAAAAGCCTGAGCTGACAACATGCCCCATGGACCCCAAGAACACTGCAGGCTTTAACAATAAATGCAAACGTGCCAGGTTCTCAGCTGGAGCAAAAGCCACATCATTCCAGGGCTGCAGAGGAGCTCTCCCCATTTACGCCGAGAAAGGGCCAGCTTCAGCTCTCTGGCACTGCCAAGAGGATGGGAACTTCACCCAAAAGTAAAGATATGTTATGTCGGAGAAGAGCCCACCAGGATAACAAAACCCAAATCAACTACCACTTCATCTGCTGTTATTTCCTTTAAGCTATTTATTTGGCAGACTGTTAATAACAATATGCAGGGGATCAACAGCCAGTTAAAGCACGTGCCTAATATTATACTCTGCACGCTATCCAAGGTAATTTGCATGTTTACAGGTAACACTGATCAAACAGAGTAGAAAGGTCACTCCCTGTGTTTAAGCAAATTCTTGGATCTTTTCTCCTCAATTATAAAAGCATGAATGCCAAACAAGAAGATCCTATCTAGAGCACGTCTAAGGGAGCCCATAAAAGAGCATCAGATGGCAACCAGAAATAGCTCAGCTCCTGCACCCGGTCTCTTGCATAGGCACAGCGTTTTGCACCACCGCGCAGACCTGTTTGCCGTAGGAAAAATTCCAGCAATCCTTTTTTAAAAAAAAAAAAAAAAAAAATAGGAAAAATTCCAGCAATCCTTTTTAAAAAAAAAAAAATTCCTGCACATCAGGTAAACCTTTCAGTGAGCACGTCTTTCTGCCCTTCTCCCCAGCAATCGTGTAACCTGGATTGTTTTTCCGTTCATAAGATCTAGCGGCTATTGGTTGCACAGCTTATACTTTAATTTCCAGAGCAAATGGACTACAGATGCTATGTCAATATAGACATGAGACAAATACAGCCGGTTGCCAGTTTGGGCTCTCCGCCAAGTGATGGAATCACCACTTGTGTTAACGTAAGCCTCTGGCAATTCGTCACCCTGGCGCTATCCCAGATCCCTCCGACTTGACAAGCGGCTGCAGATTTTGATAGTGGCGCAGCAAATCTGGGGTCTGTCTCCTGGTCATGTCTCCTCATTCCGCCACACAAAACCCAGAGCAGCAAAACTGTATTAATATTGGAAGGAGAAAAAGAACAGCAGTTAATTAAAGCCAGGAATGTTGTTTCTTGCTGTTTGCCACAGCACGGGTAAGTGGCTGGTCTCACTCTCCTGGCAATTCCCAGCAAAAGCCTCCCAAGCTGGAGCTCTGAATGACCAGACACCTGAAAGTGTGACTGCCAAGCTTCAACCCCGTTGAACAAAAATTGCTTCTAATGTGTTAACTGTCTGGAAGAGACCCCAGAAGATGGGCAGATCAGCAAGCCTCCAGTGGCTCTGAAGCAGAAGCAATCAATGGCTAGCTCATATGCTCAGAGGACCACAATCAAATGTCATTATTTGTGAGGTTCTACTTGACTTCACATCCCCCTTGCAGAAAAGGCTTTATCGATCCCTTCACGTTGAGGAGAAGGGCAATCAGACAGGCTGCGGCAGGAATAACCCCTTTGGCATTTTACATGAAAAAATAGGGTCTTCTGGCAGGCACCTACACCAATCCTTTAAAGGCACAGGAGCTCTCCTGAAAAACCCACTGAAGACTACTAACAAGATACTAAGCTGACAGCAGAAAGGTTGATGTTATCAGCCACTCTCCAATGAACCAAAGGGCGTTTTCCACATTTTTTCTTAATTATTTTTTTCCCCTTCTTGCATCACTGCTCTTGGAGGGCACAAGAACTATTCTCTGCTGGATCGTCTCTGTGGCAGGCAGAGAAGGAAATTTCCTTTCTCCTGCTAGCTCGTGCTCCTGCCTCCTCTACATAGCATTAAATTAGGCAATTCCTGAAGGACCTGCTGGCTATTCAGATAGATCCATAGGGAATACCCATTTTTTCCCCTTTCAGACCTCTCCTTCCAAACAAGGAAGATGAAATGTACCTCTCCCTTCAATCCAGTGGACAATATAACTCATAACAATGCAGACTCTGAGCGTTCGTATTTTAGGAACGGGAAGCTGTGCACCCATCATCGTGGCTGTGGGCACCAGTAGCAATAAAACAGAAACGCAAGTTCACATGCATTATTTGTCATGCACTTTGCAATCCAGTTCAAATTTGGTAATGAACAAGCATGACTTACAGGCTAAAAGGATGGATGATGAGAGCAACAAGAACAGCATTTTACAGGAGACTTCCAATAAAAGTCCTGCATGTCTTATGCCATACAAGAGAGGGAGCTCCCCACGTTTATCCTTAGTTCTTACTTCTGCTCCAACACACAACACATGTGGCTGGTTTTATCACTGCTGATTTTTGCTACAAGAAGAAAGGTGGTCAAAGATGGTGGAAGAGCTTACATTCTGATATCCACCAGTCCTTGAGCAACAGGGACTCAGGTCTTGTGCAGGGTGAAGATTTCTCTCCCTCTACCAAACTATTTAAAAATCTTTAAAAATACAAACATATTTTTCAAGTAAAGTTTCCTTTCATCTACCTCTGTCCCATTTATCACCTCTTGAATGTCAGATATGTCAAACTATTAAACATGAGCTGCCTATACGAAAGGAGACGGAAGCCAGGTAAACAGACCCAAATAAGCATCCTATGCAATCTACAGGAAGAATGTCCCACAGAGCGCTTACTCTCACTTGCTTCTGTTGAGTGAGCCTTCCCTTTATGCTTTCAAGAGACTAATTCAAGAACGCAAGTTACCTAAGTAATCAAGTAAGCAGAAAAGACAGCATCAAGGTATCCTCCAGCACTGAGAAAGACTACAAGTTTATGAGAGGAGTCAGACTAGAAAAGAATTGCTTGGGGGTTAAAAAACAAACAAACAAAAATTAGGACGAACAGAACAGCTCACTTCATCTTTGTGAAAGATGACAAATTTTAATCCCGGGCCATAAGGCAGAGGATGCAGACCAGTAAGGGCGTGTTAATGTCATGGGAGTCTAAGACAACGGTAAACCTGTGTACTGCTTGCATGGGATCTTTCCAGTGTAAATATTCCAAGTGCCACAGGGAGAGAAGCATTCATATCCCTGTAATGCTTTCCTAGGCTTTGCTTTCTGTAAGCTGCTTCTCTCTGGTACATTTTTATTTGTATATACATACTTTATTACTTAACTAACTTATACCACATTCAAACCCATAGCTTTCCAGGTTAGAGGCCAAAATCGCACACGCTCTTTCTAGATAATCCTGAAAGACATGGTAGTCCTAAACAGACCCAGGACATGCACCAGTTTCACATTTTCCAATAGCAACATGAAAATGTGGTTCTGGCTGCTTTAATGGTATAATCTCATCTAAAAATTAAACAAAAATGCACAAAGCGTGGATTAAAAACAGTGCAAGTTTTCTGTATCAATGATTTCCCACGCTGTCAATTAACAAGGGAATTTTGAAAGTGAAAGGAGGTTTGGCTAAAATGTGCCACGTATCTGTCAAAATAATGAGATACTCAACTACCCATAAAACAAACCTCTTAAAAATTTGCAGACAGCTGTTTTGACACACCTGGCCAACTTCAGATCTCTTTCAAATGGACGACATGCCAACCAGATACATTTGTTTATTCCAGGTCTGAGTTTGGACCTTCAGACATAGAGAGTTTCTTATCTGAAAGTTTAATAAATCATCACATTGGACTCACAATAAGGTAAGGACCCATGCTAAAGATCATACAATTAACAAGGCCTCATTAGCTGAAGTTCTACTGGGATGGCAAATCAAACTTATCGAACAGCAAACCTGCCAGCAGTCAGAATTCCTAATGCCACACACATGCATGTATTTAAATACATTTTTCAAATGAAATTAGCAAACAAATTGGCCTTTTTGATTCTGGCAGCATAAATATAGTCCAACATCAATACAGCTGAGAACACCAGTCACTGAAAAGAGGCAACTGTATTGTAAGGTGAGATTACAAAACTCCTAAAACAGGACTCAGAACTGTGGAACTGTTCAGCACTCTGATTTATTTCTATTTTTAAACTTGCAAGGCTTGTAATTAATGGCTTGAGGACATGAGGAGAATTGGAACAAATTTCAGCCTCAGCTTCCTCTGCATGTTGTTAATGGCTAGTCTGTCCACTAATGCGCTCCAATTTTACCCACATCAACCACATGTGATACAAGCTGCAGGAAAGCAAGTGAATTTTTAATAATCTCTCTGATGTACAGTATAATTGCTGACTTTTATCAGACAGTAGTTAAACAAAGACTTAGAAAGAAATAAATATTCCTTAATTGCACAACTGCCATTGCTCACAGTAGGAGAGCCTCTGAAATGAGTAACTGGTCCCCATTATCACGGCTATACACATACTCAGACATGTACAAATAAGTTTAGATCAACGCAGACGTTTATTTATTTCCCAGCTAGGTATGTGTGTGTATGTGCTTATATTACAATGGAGAACAATTATTCGTGTGTGACATTATCTTCCATGCACATGGGAAAAGCATGCCTCTAAGCCCGTTCATATACCCATACACACGTACATACAAGCTCCCAGTGTCTCTCACGCAGGGAAAATCCTCCACACTGTGCCACGTGTGACATATGGGTTTTACTCGCATACTAACCTAGACAAATACATTATCTCATTTCAGCTGCGTAGAATTAGCACTGAGACAGAGCGTGCAGTGCATTTCTGGAGCCAACTTTCCTTTCCTCCTTACTCCGTGTAAAACAGAAACTTTGACTCCTGGAGCATTACAGTCTTAAAAAGACAAATGCACATATTTACAGCCCTGAATGTAAATGACTCCCTTGGAGCTGATGTTTCCTTCTACCCCCAGGACATCCCAATGAAAGAAACCATGCACTTTTATATCCACAAATGTCATCAGCGCTTATTTCTGCACCTGTGATGCCTTGAGGACCCACCATAAGTTAAAAAAAAAAAAAAAAAGACATAAAAAAATAAATCATACAAACAATCCCTCCCCAATACCAGCCTGCTGTCAAAACTGCCGAGAGCTGTGCCATAATGCATTTAGTTCATGTCTAAAGGTATAATCAGCAAGGCACATGTGTGAACCTGCCGTTCAAGAAATGCCCCAGAGTTTAGTACCCAGGTCTGAGGCAAGAAAGACACAAAAGAAGAAAAATAATAGTGCTTAACATCAGTGAGAAGATCAGCCAGGAAATTACAAAAGCTGTGCCTATTTGGCAAATAAAATGTAAAACATCTTACAGTGTGATATGGGCTCGCAAAAGTGCTGATAATAGATTAAACACATGTACTCTACTGTTTTCAACAACTGCTGTTCTTTCCACTGCGCGGTTCCTACGGCTTTCCTTTTCCCTTTCAAGAAAAAAACCAAAACACCACCACAACAAACCCATCCCTATTCCATTTAAATAGCTCAGGGCACCAGGTCTTTTAACTAGAAATTGTGAGACACGTGATCAATTGGGCATTGGACTCCAAACTTTGTGAGGGTACACATGAAAGCTCAGAATTCAGCAGGGAAGAAGCTTAGTATTAAGGGGCATTAAGTGCTGATTAAAGGGAGCACTTCTCAGAACAACTCCGACTTTGCTCATTTTCCTCTGCTTGCCTCCAACTTCAGTAGAGGGGTGCTGTGACACCAGTCCCCTTAGATTTTGCAGCAGATTTTGCCTCTTAACAGGCTGTGAATAAAAGGCTGGCTTGCAAGTGCACAGCAACATTCCCCAATTTAAAACTCAGCTTTAAAGGATTCTTTTTCCCCAGGAGAATGAATGAGACCAGGGTGCAGGTCGGTGTCCTGTTACCTTGCTGTACTCCTCCCAGGAGTTGCTCCAGGTCCAGTAGTGAGCCTTGTAAAGCCCAACTCTCACCGCCATCATCTCGTTGCCACGATAATAGAATATGGGCCTGAGAAGGAGAGCAAAACTGCATGAGAAATGCCAACGCGATGGGCCCGGGCAGCCACCGCCGCAGCAGCCTCGCTGATAAGGGAGACAAACACTTTAATGGCGTCTGACTTCCGATTCGGCTATCAGTCAGAAACAGGCTGCCTCCCAATAGTCTCCACTGCGAGGTTTTCAATTAACATTTTTAAAAGTGTTCATCAAGTTGAGAGCTCACAGGGCGCAAGAATGAAACATTATACAGCTTGGCTGCCAGTGATTGTTAATCCTTGAACTATCAGACCCTGTTATTTCCTATAGAGCGTGCCGATTTAAACACCAAATGTCTCAGAAGCGGCGTGTGTGTGCGCGCGAGAGAGAGAGAAACGGGGATTCACAGAATATGTGATGCTTAGCCTCCTCTTTACGGCAGCACCAAGCTATGTGCCCTTAGTGTCACATGGACAGGGTGGCCGGGGAGGACACCAGATGCTAGCCTGTTCTGGATGACATCTCAGAAAAACCCCATATGGAAAAACCTGGCAGCCAGACATGCTTAACTCCTGTCCATTTTCTTTCCCAAAATCTCCCTTTGCATCATCTAAACATACCACTGAAAACTGCGATTTTTTTGCAGAGGTTTTCCTAATTAAAAATATGTTTGAGAAATGCACCTCACTCAGAGCATTTGGTCTGCACCTGTGTACGTGCGCTACCCTTTCCCTGGGCATCCCAGCAATGTTCCTGTCGGTTTCCCCAATAACACGCTCTTGCTTTTTGAGGGAACAGTACAAAATTTTACTGAAACAGACTATCTGCAGGAGAGGGGGTTGATTTGTTGGTGCAGCTCATCACAGAAGGACATCAGACTTAGTCAGCTCTCCTCTCCAGTTGTTTCAGGCTGCTGACAGGATGAGATCGTGAAGCTGTTTATCACTGTCAGTAGGGTACCTACATCTTTGTCTTTTGTTCAGAGACGCCACTTGGCAAAACTACTCACTCTGGTGATTCCACCTTGAAAAAACAGTCCCTAAATGCAAGATAAGATTAAAATATCCACGTCTGAATGACAGGAGTGGCCTTAGATCTCTTCTATTTTAAAATTGTAGCCTCCCCTGCAGGTTCCTCGCACAAACAATGAGCCTTTCTCCTTTGTCACCAGGAACTGCCTGTGAACAAAGGGCAAACGCTGCTGCCAGCAGAGCCCACTCCTGCATCCTCGACATACCTGAAACGCCGGTGAAATAAAGGCAGCTTGAGAGATCTGCCAAAGTGCAGAACCTGATCTAAATCAGTCCCATTAACAAAAGCCCAAACAAATATGCCACAAAGTACGCCAGTCTCCTCTTTCCTTGCCATAAACACTCACTATTTGACAAGCTATTATGCGCCCCTTTGATTGAAGGTGTGGGGATTAGGTTTTTGCTTTTTTTTTTAAAAAAATATTTTCCATCTTTGAAAGAGGATCACAGCTTGTACTCAAAATTCTGCTATTGCCAATTTCTTTTTTCCCCATTCACTTTTTCCTTTTTAAGCTTAAAAGAACACAACAACTGCATCTTCCAGAAAGTTTTTTGGGGTTGTGGAAACTGTGACCTGGTCAGGTCTGGGGGGGGGGGGGAAAAAGGGGAAAAAAGCCATGAGCACCCCCGAGGGA